CAATTTACATTCCGGAAGGACCAGAATCAGATTCAATAATATCCTTGAACCAACTTTTTTTTTTCCCCATTAAATTTAAGTTTTTGGTCATAAGACTCTCCATTATGCATGAGTATGAAATTCTGTTTTCTACCATGTGTCGGGTGTTCAATACTTTCTTCTTTTTCTAGGTGAATATCTTTTCTGCCTTTTGGGTTCCTTTATTGTATGCCTTTTTGCATTGCACGTAACTTGTATGATCATTTCCTGAAACAGCTGACAGCTAAATTTGATTCCTGAGTACTTCTTGTGTTGATTTCTAAAAGCTAGTGTACTTTTTTTTTTCATCTTACAGCCATCTGCCCGAGGAGATGAGAAATCCAGAAACATTCAAGTGTAAGTCTATTGATTAATGCAATCTTCAAGCAATACGCCTTCTATAAGCAATGAGAAAGGTGGGAATAAGTCAAGATGAAGGCCCAGTGTTGTTCCTGCTGAAGATAGAAGAAGAAACCTGGGAGGGGGAGGTTATGATGGAAGTAAATAAGATGAAAATTACGGATAAAAAAAAAAAAAAAGATGTGAGGCAGGGGTATTCCTGCTGAAGTTAGAAGAAGAAACCCTTAGAAGGGGGGAGTGGAAGAAAAATAATGAACCGAAAAATAAAAAGTATGTGTGACCTAGTGGGTACTGTGAATGCAAGGAAGAAATTAACTTTACTTAGTGATTCTAACAAGATGCAAGCTAATTTTTCAATTCTATTTTAATCTTCTAGAATAAAAAATCGGTGGTCTCTTGGACAATACAGGATTAACTGTATTATCAACCCCAGCTTGGAAGTATAATTATTATAGTACACATATTATAGCGATACTACTACTTAAATTCAAATGACGGATATTTACTATTAATTTGGAATTTCTAAACATTTATTGTGATCTTCACAATCGAGATTTAATTTCTGGAGTTTCTGTGATTTTCTTTTGGGGCATACTTGGAGGATTGGCAACTTAGTTTTAAATTTTACTTGACCAGTTTCTATATTCTAATCTTCTACAAGGTATCACTTATTGATGGAAATATTTTGAATAGGGATGATGCAAAATCCATTATATCGTCAACAATTAGAAGAAATGCTGTAAGTTCTGTTTATTTATTCTTTTTTTTTTTCTTTAAACAAATAATTATTTAATTCTGTCCAAAGGCTTCTTATATATCATGTCAGTTTAACATTCATGTCAAAAAAATTTACTGATCAATCTCTTATTTTTTTCGTGCTTTTGCTTCCTTTGCTTTCTTGTGTTTGCTCCTAAAATCTTACAGTGACTTGTGACAGCGTCGTTTTCATACTTTCTAAACTATACAGTCTTACATTTGATTTTATTGAACATTTTTGTAAGATATCAAACTGCAGAACATGCTTGGTGATGTTGGAATCGAATGTTTATCCCATTAAGAGTTATTAGTAATTTAAATGCATAATGCAAGTGACTAAGATCCTATTTTCCATATTAGGTTGGAATTTGAAGAGTGAGTTTGTCATGGTTTACTGAACTGTGAAAATGCATTTTAAGTCAATTGTACAATGTTTGAGCCACTTTTGCGAGTTGCTCCGAGTCTTTATTATCTTTTGAGTAAGAAATCGCATTTTGTTGTTTTCACTTCATTGTCCTTAGATACCTCTTTGTTTTCTTGGGCTTCCGACGACCTCTTTTTGATAGACAGGCATTAGAGATGACAAATTTTTTTTCTTTCGTTCCTTTTTTTTTTTTTTTTTTTTTTTTTTTTTTTTTTTTTTTTTTTTTTTTTTTTT